CCGCGTCCTGTTCGATATGGGACTCATAGCGACGTATACAACGCATGTAAAATACACTGTTTATTTACATGAAATTCGAACACGCGCTGCGCGACAACCACCGCGCTTTAACATGGATTTAATTCAGCAGATTTTACTTATCAGCGAAAATATTGAAATTAAAAACTAGTGAACAATAACGGCGTTTACAGTACTCATTTTTGTATTGACCACAACATTTTTCAAGGGAACAACTTTTTGTTTTGGGTTACAAAACCTGTTAAGATCTTGTTAGAATAAAAATTCTTACCAAATGTTTTTTTTTTCATGCAGCAGGCAACTCAGTCATCTGCTCAGCAGCAACAGCAACAATCTGTCTCCTCCACGACAACACAGCAGCAGCAGCAACAACCATGGCAACAACAGCAATTCCTTCAACAGCAACAGTCGCAGCAAATGCTTCTTGGCCAGCAGCAGAGAGCAAGACAGTTAGGTCTAACACAAACAATACAACCTCAACAACAACAGCAACAACAACAACAACAACAAAGTAGTGGTCTTCTCGGAGATGAAATGAGTTTATTTGACCTTTTAAATCCTTAACAAAATTATCAAATCCTACCCACCTTTTCTGTATATTTTTTGTTTAAAACTTTTAAAAAGTACATTTCTTTTAAAAAAAAAGCTGCAGCTAATCAACAAAAAACCAGAGCCATTTTTGTGCTGTATTTTTGTAAATTTATGTAAAGATGATTTATTATTCATACCCTGCCATTGTCAAGTTCAATTGTCTTTCCACTTTATATATTCAATTTTAGATTCAAAACAAGTTTTTTTTTTCAAGAATAAAAAAGCAAGGAGCGTTTCTATGGAAAAGTTATTATAAATTAATGCATTTATTTTAAGTTGCCATGGTATCCCATTTTTAAAATGTACAGCAAGGATATCTTTGTTTGTCACCAATAATACTGTATGTGATAATCCTGTTCTGCTGTGTTCTTTTGGCACTACCAATTTCTATGTTTTGTATTAAAGCGAGGGGGAAGTCACCTGTGCATGTGTCAGATGGCCATAGCGTGTCATTGTTTACAAACAAGCGTCTACCCAGTAGCCTTTGTGTTTTTTAGCGCGTGTTATCGTTACTTGGAACTCAATTCCTGCGCGTGTGCAGGCGACGACGCTCTCGCTTTAAAGTATGCACTTAAATGATACTACCATGTTTGGTCATACAGTGTCCATATATGGTACTCTCATACCCATTTTTGGTAAAGTTCCCCACTCATCATAGTCGTGCTTTCAAAAAATTACATTGTTTGTGTATGGTAAACAGTAATTATGTGAAGAATCACTGAAAACATTTTACCTGTTCATACACTAAAATATTTTGCATCGTCAGAAAATCATTTTGTTGTCCAAAAACAGAAATTATGATATTTATTATATGGTCTTTAAAGCAATAATATATCCTACCAGAAGTTCATATCTGATGTGCTGAGCTGTTTCGCTTTTATCTCCAAAAAGCAGGAAGGATTTAACAAGCAGTAAATTCATTTTTCCATGATCGAGTCGCAGGATTTTGGTTTTTTACATGAATAAAATGCATTGGTCAATTCAAAACTTGAACATACATACATACATGCAGAAATTGATATGCAAATAAATGGTGGTACCCAGCAACGACAATAAGATGTGACCCAGTTTAGTTTGTACTTTTGGAAACTTCATCTGTGTTCTACCTTTGGTAGTATCTTGAATTAAAAACCATAGTAACAAGAATTGATAATTACCACTGAACTGCGTTATTTAGAAATTTTTTTTGTTCTTGCGTACTTTTTTGGTACCAGATTGTATTAAAAGATTCTTATGGAAAGCTGAGAGAATTATTAAATTTTAAATCATTTTATCAATATATATTCTATAATTTGATGCCTATTTATTTAAAATGAGTGTTTGAAAAAACCCTAAACACTGAAATTTAAGTGTGCGGAGCATTTCTGTCAAAAATATTTAATTTTTTTTAAAATTACAATAACAGCCTGGGGAGGTAGGTGGTCAGTGTAGTAAGTGACACTAACAAATACACATATTTTGTTGTCACTAAATATTACTACCCTTATTGCTACTGTTAAGATATCTTCCTATATTTGACAAGACTGAGTAGAGTCTGAATTTCAAATGCAGCAAGGCAGGCATCAAATCTACATCAATACAAAATTTATATTCAATGCAACACTTGCAGATGTGAAGCACACAATGGGAGTCTTGCAGTTACTCTGTTTGTCTGTCAGATTTCAATGAAAATTTGGGTCAAAATCTACGCATGTTAATTAAGCGGTTAGTGAGAAATCTATTTTTTGAAAATTTGGCAACTATAATATTTGT